TCCACCGCAGCAGCTGCCCCCCCCCACACACACACACAGAGGGGGTTCAGCGCCGCGTGGAGACGCCATTTTAAGTCAGTTTTGTCGGCTGACTCAAAGGACATTTCATGTTCGTTTAAGGAAATACCTGGTCCTTCACAGTAGTAATTTGGTGCCTCCAGCTCATCTTCACATCTATAGGCTAAGGTCATTCTGGTCTTATATTAGACATGAAAGGGGTTTTGTCCATTCAGTGGGCACCATTCCAATGGCAGTGGATAATGGTCTAGCTCCGAGGCCTGGAGAAGGAGGGATCAAGCAAGATGAATACCTGCAGATCCCTGTAACATTTCCCTTGTCCCCCTCCCTAAAAAATTGAAGAAGCAAGAAGAAAAAAATGCTGGAAATTATGAGGACACAACATCATCTGAGACTTCTTGAGCAAAGAGGGAAATAGGGAAATTAAACGTCTTATTTGCACTGTAAGTCTTTTTGTCCCATCTTCCCTACTCAAGTGTGTGTTTTGTAGCAGCAATTGTGTTGGAGCCCTCAGAGCATGGATTTTGTAGCAAGCAGTCAGGGAAGGTTGAGGAGTTTTTTGAAATCAGAGGACAGGCTCACATCTTCTACCACAGAAGACAAATCCAGTTCCATGCCTTTCCAAGGAAAAAAGAAGGAATTCTACAAAATCAGACTCAGAGTTTAACCAGTCTTAACACAGATTATCATCACAGAGAGGGAGAGCATATCTCCAAGTCAGGACTTCTGGATTCAGCTTGCATAAATAAACCTCAGGGAGTGAGTGGGTGGGTGAGTCAAATGAAAGATAGCAAGAACAAAGGTGAAATGCAATGTTTCTGTGGCTGCTAAGTACGCTCTGAGTTTAGTGGTACTGGGGAGGGTTTATGTCCACCTTTAATAATAGAATTTTAAAAGCTATAGGCTTGAGGTGAAAATTTTTATGTGTAGTGGACTTGCAGAGCTGTCAAGTCAGTACTAAAGAGTAACTAGTGCCAAAATATGAGATGAGATCTTCATACAGATGCTGATTAAGTGGATCTACTTTCCCAGTGATCTGTCCAATATTCCAATTGAACCTCTAGCCAAAATTCATGAGGCAAATTTCATTACATTAGTGGTGCCTAGTCTGGAGTTGGCATTCTGTTGTAGTCATGACGGTGGGATGGATAGGAGGCTGAAAGATGGAGTAATAACACTTCATTATGATGAAATATCAAAATATGTTGGAAGGTCACCTTGTGTTGTATAATTATATATTCAAAATAATTTAAATTCTTGCTTCAGCCCTTAGTGAACCTGAGACAGCAGCGATGGGAAAAACCTCTCTTAAAAATCCCAAGAATCATACTTGTTTTGGCATGACATTGCCTAAGGTGATTTGCGAACAAGGCCGACTTTGCCAGGCTTTCACATTAGCAAAAGGTTCAGCATACATTTTAAAACATTAAATCAGCTTTCTATTTGCATGGATAGGATTATCTGATTGTATAGATTTTGTTAATTTCAAGGGCCCCAGTATTCTAATGCTGGAGCCAAAATGAAATACTCAGAGTAACTGTATGTTTATTATTTTATACAGGCATTAAAAAATTTTCTAAGGTTGTCATATTATCTTATTTTGGAAGACATAGAGTGTATTTGCTGTCACAAACAATACTAGGATTGTAGATACTTATCACTTTGAAAATCAGGCTCAAAACTTAGTGCAGAATTACCTGCTCCTGTCCAAGTGAAGTTTGAAGTTAAGCTTTGGTTTTTGGTAGAACTGAGTATCGCTGGATACCTTAAAGCTTAAAAAAAATACAGAAATTGCATTTTACCCCATCAGTTTCAATCTGATGGTTTCAAATCAGACTTGATGAAATTGTTTTCTCAATGTCCCTGTTCAAAGCAGTTTGCAGTGTAACTTGACATGACATGACCTGAATGGCAGCAAACATGAAGGAAACAAAATGCATGTTTAGTCCATCAAAGATGTTCAGAATTTTTTCCAGTTACTACTCTGCTCTTTGTCTTGATGGCACAGATTTCTGCAAAGATTATTATGTCTAACTGAGAAATGTCATAGTTCTCTGGGTCTACTTGCTGCACTTGGTGTGGACCCACAAGACAGGCAGTGGCATAGAGCTTTGTTGTCTACGTGAGAGTGTCAAGATGTTAAGGCACCATTTTTCGGAATTAACTCATAGTAAACAAAGGAGATCCTACAGCTGTTCCTGAGTATGGGCAATAAGACAGGAAGGACTAGAGCTGCGTACTACTTGTTCTCCCACTGTAGGTGGGAGAGGTCTTCTCCCTTGAAGAACAACAGTGTCTTTGGCTATCACTGCTGTTAAATACTTGTATCAGACAGAAGAAAAGGAGTATGCAGAGAGAGGCAGGAGAACTGATGTTTCTCCATCACCAAAAGCTGCCAGTGAAAACATGGAAATATTCATTGTTTGTCATGTCACTAGGTCTCAGTTGAACAGTTTTGGAAACTGTAACTGAGAGTTTCCAGCATGCAGTGCACTCTGAATGCTGTGCTCCAGAATAGAGGTGCAGCCTGGCTATCTATCAGTTGACCCAAGTTGTTATCTCTGTTTGCAGTGTGTCTGAGCTGAGTCTTCTTGGAGTAATCTACCGTTCGTTGAACCAAAATGGTTTGCAGCATCTGGGGCCTGATCTTCACAGATGCCCTCATTCTTGGCTGGATCCTTAACAGTCTGTCAGTGGTCTGTTGGAATGTCTCGAAAGTTTAAACATAAAATTCCACCTTACTGAATTCAACACAAAGGTGTCAATACAGCCATACAGCAATACAAATTTGAATTTCATGTTTTACTTAGGAACTGTGGAGTGATAGTATTTTAGAAATAATAAGTGAAAATATTTTAACTTGCACTTTGAAAAGAAAAGGTGTGTACCACTCTCTGCAAGTATTTTTAGTTGCTGTATTTTTCTGAAAGCCTTTGGACATTCAGCCTATTAATTTGTTTCTTTCCTGAACATATCTTTATTGATGCAGCAGAAGTATTCCTCTCCTTCAAGGTAAATTCTGTATCGTTTCACACTCCATTCTTTACAGACCTTCATAAATCCATTGTCATGTATGTGACCCCTTAAACTTAGGAGCATATGTACAAGAAACATAAACTTAATTTTTTATTTATATCCCTAATAATTCCTCTCCAACTGTATTATGTTTTAATGAGTTGCATGACATCCACTCTTTTTTTGTTTCTCTAAACAGCTATTTAAGTATGATCTTTGTAGTGAAAACTGTTTTAATGATGTTTTAATGATGCAATTCATAGGAAAGTGTTAGTTGAGAGAAAGTTATTAATATTAAAGGATGCAATTAAATTTTCAAAAGTAGCATAAAATAGTCAGATTATGTCTTATCTGTCCCCTTTTTTGATCAGTTTTAGTAGAAACTTGAAAGGTACACTGACAGATTGGATAAAACATGGAGGCAGAAGAAATGTAGTCTCAAAAAAAAATAATACCTTTTCACCCTGCTTTGGCAGCTGTCAACAACAAATATAAATTTTGATTAATTAAAGCAAATCTTATCCTAAACATATTTCTTTATTCTTTCAGACCACTCTTCCGTGGAAATTCAGATGTTGATCAGCTAGGAAAAATCTTTGAGTAAGTAATAACTAGTTGCATTATGTCAATATCTGTTTTACATTGAAACACTATGAGATTTCTTTGCCATGTTTTTATGCAATAATGTGACTGGAACAAAGTATTCCTACAACATATTTCCTATTGCTACTGTATGCAACATGATATTTCCGTGTATCCTGTGTCAGAGTGGAAGGAGGAAGCCACATGGAATACAGTTCTGCAGAACTAGCAGCCATCATCAGGAAGTTATGAGACTTACGTTTTGAGCTTTTTAAATCTCTTAAACATATTGTGCATGTACCATTCATATTCCTAAACAGCTAGATCCAGGAGATTCTCTTCACATAAACTAATACAGGCATTTTATTTTTCAGTAATTTCTGCATGTATTTCAGAAAACTGAAAAAGTTGTTATTAAACTGAAACGTGTAAGATTATTACCAACAGCTCCTTTGCTTAAAAGACTTCTGTACATAAGAAAACATTTTAGATTTTAAAATATACTCTGTAGGCTGTTAAAATGATTAACAGTCCATATTTTGGTCAGGAAGGTAACTGAGAACAGAAGGAGTATCAGCATTTTAGCATGTGCTTTGTCAGAGATTAACTAACTGGCTTTATGTCAAAACCATTTTACAATTCTAAGAGTTTGTGCTTTTCTTGTTCAGATACATCAGCTACTTGGAGGAGGTAGGGAGGCTCTAGACCATCTTAAGACAGAATAATTCTTCCAAAATAAATTCTTAGTTAAAAAACAAAAATTTGAATTCTTTATTTTACCAATATGATAATTAAGTAGGATTAGATCACTTCTTCTTGTAATGGCTCTTCAGAGCAAGGAATGTTTCTGAATTTATGAGGACCATGTAAACTTAAGATCTGATGTACATATCATGTAGTTAGGAAATCAAACACATAGGGCTGAGAGCAAATACCCATTTGCCTCTGCACCTCTTGTCTTCCCTTTTCATATGGAGGGGCTGCAGGCATCTGGAAAAAATAAGAAATACATGGACAAAAAAGAGAGAGAGAGAGAGAGAGAGAGAAACATGAAATACTATTCTCGTGAAGATATTCCAAAGAGAAGATAGTAAAAATTTCTAGGAAGAAGAGCTTAAACAGAACAAATGATGAATTTCTCTGTTTAACCATTTTTCCAGTTCTCAAGTCATAACAGATCTGTTTCTAAGCTTTTTCATTATTTAATATGAGGTTCCTAAATTGCAGGTCTTTATTTCACACAGTTGACTTCCCTTTCCGGCATACCAAACCAGTGTATGTGACTCACTCGCGTGGTTAATTTGTCATGCACTGAATAGCCAGCCCTTCCTGCCCAGTCCAGAAAAATCAGTCCTTAAAGTTTACGAGTTTTATTTCTGCCAGAGGTACTCCATCTGTCCTACAATATTCTGCTTTATTAAATGAAGACGGTTTTGATACCTCCAGCATATTTTATCATTTGAAAATATATAGTTGTGATTTTTTTAAGGATTTTGATTCATTCATGACATTCGAGAAGAAAAATCAAAATTTACTGGGCTGTGATTAAATGCATAGCTGCTAGCAGCAGCCTCCAACAGGGATCTTTATATCTCTAGGGGCTGAGATTACCTGTGCAGAAAAGAATTTATCAAGAGAAAGTGCCGTGCTAATTTTAGAAGAAATTCCTTATTACACATCTACTTAAAGAGAAAGTTTGGTTTTGCATCTTTCGTGCAGTTCTCCTTACGTAGTTCAAAAGTTTCTTTCATGGGTTCTGGGGGGCTTATGCTAAATAGTGTTTATTTTGTGTTTTCACAGCTGGAGAACTCCCTACAGTTAGACATAGCTCTTCTTGTAGGAGGATTGTTTCTTTCTACAGTAGTGACTCATTCTCCAGACTAATTTGGACAAAAAAGTAGTTTGGGGATTTTTGTGCAATCTGGACTGATGCATTCTTTCAGATAATGGGGCTGTGATCTACCTTTGCTTTACATGTGTGTTCTAATTTCTGTCAGGTAAAATTCCACCACATTTGAGGGTAAATCCCTTGGAGGTGGCCCAAAAAAATGACCTGCTTTTCCAGGACACCATCAGCATGTGGGATATCCTTGTAGATTTCATGCTAAACTCTGCAATAGTTTGAGCAGACTTGTCTCTTATTGTGATCAATGGGAGGGGAAAGTACTTGGTGTTTCTAAAGACCAGGCCTGAACCTTTGGCAGGAGGTGAAACACATCCAAGACACTCCCGAACTTAGTCACCAAAATGGTAATGCTACCAGACCAGAGTGAGGACATCTACTCAGACATTCGTTCCTACGAGTCTTGAGTACTACGTGATGGTGCAACTAAAAGTGTCTCTCCTTTCCACCCTTGGTCTTGTCCACGCTCTCCGTCTGACAAGCTGTCTCCTTGTTTCTTGTCGTTAGCTTTGCCTATGCCTGTGCTTATTCTGCCTTGCTCATGCTCTCTCATGCAGCTATTGAAAAACTGGGACTAACAAAACACATCTGATTGACAGGCTAAACTTAGTCATTATTTAAAGTAGTTAACTCCCCCATCTTCCTACTGTGCTATTTGTATTATGTTTGTGTCCAGACCCTCAAACAGCTGATCACATGGTTTTCACCACTGTGGCCCAGGGAGTGTCCCCGTATCCCCCCATAGCTGTCATGGTAAAAGTAAAGTTCAATTTTTCATACAGATTTAACGTGACACTTCCCAAGAGCCGTGGTATCTTCAGATGTACTAAAATTAAATTGTCCAGAGATTTTAATTGCTTTGCCCTTCTAGCCATGCTGTTGCTTTAAGGACATATTAATTTTCGGAGGTATTTTAGGTGAGCGAAATTACAATCTAAAATACATGTTGGTAGATGTGGAGTCATTCCACTGAGGTAACCTATGATTTACATCAAGGAGTTTGGCCCGTGGCCTCACCCAGTCGTACCACCAGTCTCAGTGAGAAAAAAGGTCAATGCTGCACCCTAGTGGCATTTGGCTTCGTGCAGACCCAAGTATTCAGTGATGCCTTGTCGTGTTGCCTCTTGTCTTACTCTGCCAGCGTTTCCATTAAAAATCTCGATTTTACAGACTGTAAAAATCTCTTTTCCCTGACAAGCAATGTGTGGTCTTTTCCAGAATTACCATCAGAATCTGGAGTTTCAACCCCACTAATCTTAGCATCAGACTAAACCACAAAATGTATGAGCCATGATACATCATTGGAGGGTTACCTACTTTTTCATTTATTTGGGTTTTAAACATCATCGTGATTACCTAATGAGTATAAATACATTCCAGAATTGAATAAATAAATTATAAAAATAAATTAAAATATTCTGTTAAAAGGGGGAAGAAAAACTACAATACTTTTCAAAGTAAAAACAAAGACACTCAAGTCCTACCCCACTTCTGAATTGAGACTTTAACACCTGTTTTGTGAAGCAAATAAATTGTTTAAATCTGGGCAACAATTACTGCACATAGCTTTGAAGCATTATGAAACATCCGTTTTATTGCTTTACCCTCATCTTGACCCACACTCTTCTCTCAGTCTCTATTCTTGTGAATAAAGATCCTTGCATGCAATTCCCCTTTGAAACGTACTGCTTTTAATCATCCTGGAGTGACATATGTTGCACCATCCAGTCAAGAGCTAAGCAACTTTCTTCCAAAGCACTCAGCCCTTTTTCAACAAAAAGACTCAGAAAATAGAGACCAAGGCCAGAAAGTCGTGCTGGCCGCAGAATAATTTCTACCAAGCACACTGAGGACCTACACTCATCAGCCTATATTCACAGAGATCAGTGCATTACTGTACAATTAATTTCATTTAAACAAAAAGGACTTCCAAACCACCACTCAGTATAACCAATGTGAAGTGGAGACTGCGTAAACATTCAGACCTGATGTTATGTTCTTCCTTTTGCAGTATAATTGGGCTCCCTGAAGAAGAAGACTGGCCTAATGACGTTGCCCTTCCACGAAATGCTTTCACTTCCAGACCTGCACAACCTATTGAAAAATTTGTACCAGATATTGATGAACTGGGCAAAGACTTGCTTCTTGTGAGTTTCTATTTGTTGTTCTCCAAGCTGCATGATTGATAGTTCCCACTGTGTGTGCAACATGCCAAGAAACATTTATGTTCCCTTTTAACAGAGTTATTAAATAAAAGCTCAAAAGTAGTGGACCCAGGATAAGGGAGAAAATAGGCTGTAAAGCCAGATTACATTTGCAAGCCTTCTGTTGAATGCTGAAAACTTGAGATTTGGAATTCACCAATTGTTGCCTCTTAAAAATGGCAGGATTGACAGAAACAAATTGTGCTGGTACAATTGGTAACCCTGAATTCAGCTGAATAATTGTCATCATTTTGATATGTCTGCATAAATCCCTGCACTGAAGTTCAGTCTTGGAATAGAACACAGGAGATTTCCTTGCTTCAGTGTGTCTTTTGCCGTGTTTGTTTAAATCTAGCTAAATTTGTTCTCTGGGAACCTTTTAAAGATATTGGTTCACACGGGCTCAATAGAGTGGGCTCAGTGCAACTCTTGAAAGACTTGCTGCATCTCTTCAAGAGCTGCTGTCTTTGGCCAACATTGTCTCCACAGAACAGCAGATCATCCTCCATTGTTCTTATCACTGCAGCTCCCAGCTAGACTACATCTGGACACTTGGAACGATGGGAGAAATGCATCTGTTGTGCTTGCAGGCAGCGGGACAAAAAATAGGTTCTAGGAGCAAGGAGGCATAAAATATGGCAGAGAGCTCAGTGAGTGTGAGGGATGATGGGAGTGAGCAAGAAGACAAATATCCCTGCCTAGAAGGTGAGCTGGGAAGAGAAGCTGTCCCTGATAGGCAAGGAGTTAAAAACTGGGATTCATAGATGAAAGGCGAGAGTAGGACTGGAAGTCACTCAGTTAAATTTCACTGATTAAATTATAGGAATTCTGACACAAGAAAAGAAAGCAGAAATAGGAAATGGTTAGACAAGGACAGTAGGAAGGTGAAGGAAGGACTATTAGAAGGTGAATGAAGGAAAAGAAAAGAAACACAAGGCTATGGGAGAGATTTCAGTGCTGGCTGGACAAAGGCTGGGATAAAGATCTGGAAAGAAGGCAAGAATAGCACAACTACAAAGCCAAAGACCCAACACCTACAGAAATGCTGAGCCTAGGAATGAACATATATGTTATGGTGATGTCCATGTTTGTATAATCACAAATGAACAGTGCATTGAACACAGAGGATTCAAAAATTATTAACGAGTATTTGCTCCTTGCAGCCTGTAAGACAGATGTCCTGTGCATGTGAATTCAAGAAAATCTGAATTCTGAGATTTCTTGAACTGTGAATACTTGAATTTTCTGACTTGTTATTTTCTATTAGCTTTGGGGGTACCATATTCATATGCTGTGACCCCACTGCTTGTTTTAATATGGATGGTCATCTTACCATGCAGCACCTACTGAGACCCTGTTGTGTCTCGTACTGATAAAAAATTAAAGGTGGCATCCATTAATGTGTATGTGCAATGTTAGCACTGTTGACTGTACCTTTCAGTTAAAGCCAGCTTCTTTTTATACTTACAGAAATGCTTAGCGTTCAATCCAGCCAAGAGGATATCTGCCTATGTTGCTCTCTCTCACCCATATTTCCATGATTTGGAGAAATGCAAGGAGAATCTGGACTCTCACATGTCATCCAGCCAAAACTCCAGTGAGGTGAATGCATCATAATGCTGACTGAAGATGAACCATAAATGAACAAGATGTGTAGCTGACAAGGCCGCTGTCCCTTACAAGCCACATAGCTGTTCTAGCGGAGATAATTATTTGGAGGTTCTATGCACTTATCTTTTCTTTTGGGATTATGATGTGCTTATCCAAGGAAATCAGTGTAGTTTACTTTCCTCAGATCAACACAAAGGCCAGGGCTTTGACCTGCTCCCATTGCAGCTTTATGTTTGTTTTGTTTTTGTTTCATTACCTACCTGGGAAAATTCCACATGAAGAGAAGCTGCTGACCAGTTTTGCTGCCATTTTATCTGTTTATTATTGAATGCTGCCAGTGTGGAGTAGGCTGATCAAGTCACTGCCAAAACATGATGCAATTGCTCTCTCTTTAGCTGCTGAAGCATGATTTGGTACTTTTCTAATTATTATTATTATGGGATCTCTTACAGTGATATTTAAAGAGTGGCATTGAAATACCAGATCTCTGCAACCTGCAATTAACTGATACATGCATTAATCTGGCTACTGTTTATTCAAGGCATATATGCAGGTGCTTCCCCACTTTAAAACGTGGATGCATCATTTTGTCATTTCATTGCTCTATAAAAATAACAGTGATGATGGTGATCATACCAAATGTCTCAACTTTTAGTTTTTTCCATACACAAACAAGTTATTATCCAGCTACGTTTGCAAAACAAACAAGTGTTTTTAAAAAGTTCTAGAGTCCTGTTCTTAAAGATCCTCTCCATTTCCAAATGGTCAGTTTCTGTTGAAATCCAACCAGATTCTAGCCCATCATCTAACCCCTCATTCACCCTTAGAAGCAGCTGCAAGCATCTTTTCTTTGTCTCATTATGAATTTTCTGATATGCAGCTCAAAGACATGAGCAGAGCCGATGAAAATCAATACAGATTTTCACCTTCAAACTGTTCTGATTATCAGCCAAAAAAGAAAATGGTAAAAGTATTTCCAGTTCAGAAGCAGAGTCTATACCTTTAACAAGCACAGATACCTATTTGTGTTTCATTGTATGCTGTATACTGTGTTGCCTTACCTGCAACACGCCCCCATGCATCACAAGGGCATGAACATTACTGTCTCAAAATCTCTCAAATGCCATTTATTATCTATGCAGAAATGCATGAGCTTCTCTCCTAAACCACCATGTGGGTATTCTGGCACATGCTTCTCCATCAGGGTTATTGTGCCATTATTGAATGTCAAAATAACTAAGCAATTCACATGCCTTTATAGCACCGTTATTTTAAATATTACATTAAATTTTATATTTAGTATTTTTACCTTAACTAAAATATATTTTCAGTATTTTAAAAAGAAGCTTTTATTTTTTTAATACTGTACTGGGTAAAAAGAAATATTTTAAATCCTTAAAAGCTGTTCCCTATTGTGACTTCAGTGCATTCACCTGGAAATGACTTGGGGGAAAACATTGGTCCAATGAGTTTGCTTTGACCATAAAACCATAAATATACACTATTGCAGTATAACTGGTGATAAGTGAGGCAGCTAGCTTTGCTTACTCCTGTGATAGTCCCTTAGGCTTCTCTCTTCTTCATCTCAGTTTCATCTTGTCTAGCTAGTGAGCCAGCATTATATTCTCCTTGACAGCATGCTTGGCAGAAGCAGGTCCTTAGCAGTGAGTTGAGCAACATCGATTTTCCAGCTGTGGCATGGGAACTTGCAGACATTGCCCTGGTGGGTTTCTCCATCCCATGATAGACTGGCTGTTGTGGCAAACTTCAGTGTTAACTTTGTTTTGGATATCTGCACTGTCTGGGGTGTGGTCCATTACTAGGAAAGTGAGTGGATCTCAACTGTCTCTTGGATAAAGCTTTTTGTTACTGTTAGACACATAAGTATGTGACATATGGTTAACTTAGGTCTGTTTTAAATAAGCCGCATTTTAAATGGACTACTTGTATGCGTGCATGCAGTGGCCTGTGCTTTTCTTCATGCCCAGAATGATGCCTATGCAAAACCTACCAACATGAACAGGCAAGTTGCAAATTAGGCCTGAGAAGAGCATGCACGAGGCATCTGCACACAGAGGTACTACAGAAGCATAAAACAAGAACTTTGGAAGCTCTATGAGCAGCAAGCTGAAGGCCAGGGAGCGGTCACGGCAGCTGACCCCCTGATCCTGGCCTTGCCTCTGTCATTCTTTCTGGTCCTGCATCCAAGGGGAACTGCAAACCTACTGCACTGGTGTTGTCCCAGCTCTATTCCTCCGTGGGTCAATGGACCTGAATGTGAATAGGTTTTAACATCCATAGAAAAGGATGAGGCAGAGGGAAAGTTTTGTTTAACCACTTTTAAACACTACTTAGAAAAACAACCAGACTCAACATTCAGGGGAATCTTGAAAATGTCACAAATAAAAAACTTGTCTACACTGCTCAGCACTTTTAAAAACATTTTGCATTTTACCTAGAGCCAAGCTATCGTAAGTGCTTCATCAGGGAATTCAGCTGGTGTGGGATTCCAGCAGCTGCCAGGGAACACTCCCAGAGGTCTCCAACAATTAACATTGGGTGAAAATGAGGGGGAGAGGATATTTTCAAATTAGGCTCAAAAACTGTCAGGTAGAGATGTGCATCTATTAGAAGAGTTTGTTTTATTAAGTTTAGTGAAGCAAAGGCTAGAAAAGAGTATGATTGCTGAATGTAGGTACATTTTTAGCGTAGAGTAAAAAGGAGGGAAGAGAACACTTTAAGCCATAGGTAAGTGTTGGCCCAAAAACTAATGAGAATATGGAAATTCCAAGGAAGTTAACTACAGGAGCAGAATTTCCCAATCAGCAGTATCAGAGGAGCTCGGAGAGCAGCAGAGAAAAGTAGGGGCTGGCTTATGGAATCAGAAGCAGACCTGCAAGGCGGTGCTGTATGTTGGCTAGTATAGGATCAGGTTATAAATGGGGGTATTCAGAACAGCTTGAGAAGGCCTTCATTAATGGTCACGTTCTGGAACATCCAGTGGGAATGGCAGGAATTGAGAAAAGAAAACTTAAGTTCTGCCTTGACAGGGTTAGATTTATCTAATGTGGGGTCCTTGTGGTAGAACAAGTCTAGATTCAAAGGACAAATGACTTTTCAAATTACTTCCATTTCAAAATCTCTGTATGAAGAAATTCCATGTGACACACCATAGGCTTACTCTTATTCCAGTCTTCTCTGCCAAACCATGGGCCTTCACTTACACTAGTAAACTGAGAAAGCTTGTTCTCTTGCTGGCCAAAGTGCTGGCACTGGCTAAAATCATGCCAGGAATCATGCTTATAATGAAACTGTACAGACAGCTGTGGGACTGTGCTTTGAGCCCATGCCCTTACTCTTTTTATGTTACTAGTATAGCTCTAGTATTTTACTATGTTTACCCATTACTGCCAGATATGTAAGACGTAGGAATTGTATATGGGAAAAAGAAGGTGCTCTTTGACACACGTTCCAGACTGATGAAAACTCTTTGTACACACTTTAAGTAAGACTTCAGAGTGCAGTTCTTCTTAGCAATCAATATGCCTGTATGTGTTCTATAGGAGCAGTTCAACAGCAGCTAAAAAACACTGAATAACAAAAAAATGTATTCAATTTTCAATAGCTCCTATTGCCACCCATAACCAGGCAATGTGCACTTCTCAGCAGAGAACGGGACATTCTGTGTAACAGAAGGAACAATTTCTATCTCCCAACAATCTTGTTATGATTTTGTTTATTTGTTTGTTTAATCACTTCTATGTACTACTGCTGGAAAACATACCCAATAGCCAAGGAAAAAAATCACCAAAGCCAGCTAGTGAAGTGCTAATTGCTGAACCATAGCAATACATCTGGGGCAGCCTTTTCTCTCTTCGCCCTGTCTCCACTCTCAGTTGAGCTCTCCAGTTCTTCTGGGGCTCCCTTATGGAACCAGGTGTCAGGGACACTGAATGGTGCTATTCCAACAAGATTCAACTTTTCCATAGCTACACAGTGTCAGTGTCCCCCACATCCCTATTACCAAGTGTTGCTTATTTAAGTCCAGCAGCCCAGAACCAATGATTTAAAAAGATACTCTTTGAGCCCCTCCTTTCTTACCCTTAGTTTTGCATACACCCCTCTGTGTGCTAAGTAAAATTTCAAAGATAAGAGTTTGTGCATATTTCTGTGTAGGCTGTGCCCACACTCCAGGTTTTTTTCAGCCAATTAATTCATAATGGTAAATGTTAAGAGTACCTTTCTGCATTGTTGCTGTCCTAAAACACACCAAAAAATGAGGACATCATGTTTTCAAAATATTGAAATTTGGTGCTATGTGTAGAGCCTTTTACATGAAAGAAATGAGTAAGCAGTAGTATTTTAGCATCTCCTGTGGGGGGGGATCGTATCCAGCATCACAACTCTTTGGTGATTTTCACACTTGATGGTTGTTTTGGTGATTAAGAAGAAAATACTGTGCCATGCTACTTTTCAGAGATTCATTTACTGTCTTTGAGCATGTTTTATTATACATATAGTTCTCTCTGCTGTTAGGTATTAAGCTAAGTTTAATATGGAAAATGAAGAGAAAACATGCTGGTTTGATCTTTTAGGCAACAAACTTGGAGCACTTATCTGACTCACAACTGAAAACACATCAGTTGTCAAATACGTTTCTGAATCATAAGCCACGCAGTTTGGTTTAAAAGGCCACACAAATTAATTATGTTTCATGACACAGTTGAAAAATGAGAAAGTTTATTGTAAGAATTCTGTTTTATAGAACCACTTTGCTAGTATTTTTCATATATAGTAGTTTCAGGAATAGATTGATTTTTATAAACAATGTGAATTAGAAGATACTATTAGAGTGACTTTGTTGTGTTATGCTTGAAGCTTGAATTGATCACAAGCTTAGGAACCTAACATATTTATTTTATTGCTACAAAATTGCTTCTAAATATCAAGATCTTTTTTGATGTTAACAGGATGTCACACGTCTTAATGTGTAAATAATTTTCTTGAAATTAGTATATTAGAAAAAAGACAACAATATTTTTCAAAACTGCAGTTGTGCGGGAAAATTTAAGAAATATTATTTTACTTTCACAGAAAATATTAACCTGCTATATACTGAAATCTTCAGTAACGGACTGTTAATAAGCTATCAGTTTTACTTCTGATTACTACTTTTGATTACTAAGTATTGGAGTATACAAATTATTTTCCATGAAGAAAAAATTTAGAAACATTCTCTATAAAGGAAATGGGATTTTCTATATTTAACCTTCCAAGTTTCTTTTTCATATTCAGGTTTTTTTGTGCAAGTACAATTCAAATGTGCAAAAACATGACTCTGATCTTAACAGCCTAGCAGGCAGTACAACTCAAATATGAGTTTTATCTGTG